TTTTTATTAGAGAGAGAGAGAGAGAGAGAGAGAGAGAGAGAGAGAATCAAATACTTTAAAAAGGTTGACATATCCGGCGCAAACATAACCGGAGTAAATACCAGAACAGATCTGAATTATAACATTGGTTACGATTCCCATAGGAATCCATGCGTTAAATACAACCGAAATCAATGTATTACAGGCCAGGCATGTGAGTGGTGTGGATATACCCTGTTGTGCTCCGTCTAATATCTATACAATAATTATATTAATACATTTATTATACAGTAATAATTTCCACAAAAGTTTTAAAAAACACAAATAAATTTAATTCAAAACACATCTCAATAACTATAAGTTTATAATAATCTAATATAAAAGACAATTAATAAAATACTTGTCTAATATCGATGACATTAAGCACTTTAAACACATTGAGTGACACATATTTGGACAATATTTCATCGATCACTTTGGGATTCAATTGTTTATCACTTATTTCTTTCTTGAAAAAAGTCTCAAAATTATTTATTTCAACACTTGTTTTATACAATTCTCTCAATGCTTTCAATTCACTATTGTTTTGGATATTTGTTTCAAACTTTTCAAACATTTGTCGAAAATAATTGGATGTATTTCTTTGGCATTTAACACAACAAATATTCAAAAACAAAATCAATAATAATTTCCACATCTTCTCAACAATTAAATCAAATTTTACCAAAAAAACAATAACTTTAAAATTATTACAAACTCATTGATACCTGTATTGCATTCACAATACTTATATGGGTTTCAATATAAAGGTTATTAACATTGAATTAACAAAACATTTGAATTTTATTAATATTAATATGTTTTAATTTAATTATTGCTTCAATCATTAAATTTTGTACAAAAATCGTGTCTTTTATAGTCAAACAACTATTGTTTAATTTGTGGATTAAATGACATTTGATTTAAACATAACATTTAAAAGTCAGATAAAACCTTTTCTCAATTTAAGTATAATTTAATTAATTTCGTGTATAATAGATGTGATTATAAACCAATTGCTTTGTACTTAAAATATATAACACTAAAAATTTTGCTAAACTATTGATATTTAAAAAAATACAATATTTTATGCAACAAAATACAAAACAATCAATTGATTATCAAATTTCATATCATTTATCTAATGATTTAATAAATCAATTCATAAGATCTATAATAAAACAAATAATTAACAATTCATTGATTCATAAGAACTTTAAGACAAAAAACAAACAAAAAATTGGCGTTAAATTAAAAATTAATTTAAATAAATATAAATACAAATATAATAACAATTACAATAATTGAGTGCCTAATTGTATATAAGATCAAAGTGTCCATTAAGTGTCCATTACTGTCAACTTGTTATCCAATTCCCAATATCTCTCGCGAGTGGTGCGGAGGATGTCTTCGCACAAGTCGTTGATATTAGTATAACGGCAGCGATCGAAGCAAAAGTAATCCCTAATCACTGACTGCAGCGACTCTTTGACGAGAAAGCACTTGAACTTCAAGTCCTGGTCGGAGCCGAGGAAACCCCAGGCGAGCACTGGAGAGACGTGATCCAGGATTGAGTAGAAGTGCGCGAAGAATCCGTCAGAAACGGGCAGTTTTGACCGCTTCCTCCGCATCACAGCCGACACCGCCGTCTGGAGCGCCAACTCTCGAAAGCCTGCGGACAGCCATCGATTGCTGGCCACTGAGGAGACGGCCGACGGCGGGTTCTCCACGTCGTCGAACGAATCCAGTATTATATAGTCTAAGACGAGGTCATAGAAAGTGAGGGCCGGTATGTGTCGCACAGCGATCTCTTCGCGGATCCCCTCGTGATTGGATGTGTCGCACAAGAAGTCTATCAATGAATAGTACGATGAAATACATTCCGTCGGGTCCTGTCGTACAATCATATCATTAGACAAGTGTTTAGTCTTATACTATATACAACTTATAATTAGTAGTTAATTAAAAAGTGATCACAAAGTGATAGTTTAAAGAGTTTTCTCAATTCAAACTCAATTAGATTTAAACAATGACTTAACAGTTATATTAAATTGGATTCAGAAATAAAGCCAAAACACAAGTGATGTCTGGTTTCGAAAGCAAAGGTGCAGTGAATGTGTAGTAATAGTGAATAGTATTTACACAAAGAGTTACCCGAAGCGAGTGATTGAGGAGTATTTCGAGGATATTTTGTCCCATAGTTTGGAAAGACTTGCGATTGTCGTCGGAAGTGATGAATATGTGATCAAAAGCCCGACGAATGCAATGGACTTTCGCTTTGAAATCGTTGTAATCTTTGCAACACATCTGAACGGATCGGTCCACTCGTGGACTCGCTATTGAGTCCAAGTCTTGCACGGCGTCCACATAGAGGGTGAAGAAGTGGAGGTTCTCTTCGCACTCCCAGTAAGCCATGGATGCGGTCGTGGCGTACGATATGATTGACGACCGTTCGTCGTAATAGTCGTCCAAATCCTTAACCATTCAATCAAAACAATCAATCAATCAATTGGTCGACACATCAAAACGCGGCCAAAACTTACCCCGTTTTTAATGGCCATTTGCGGGACGGCGTCGTCGAAAGTTCGCGACAAACTGTTCCGGAAGGAGTGCGTCCTCTGGCGTTGAGTGGGCGGCACATCACCCATAGGGCCGGCGGCCGTACCGCCAATAGTGGCCGACCGGCACACAGTCACCGCGTGTCGGGCCGTCGGACTACTCGTGCCGTTCACTTTCAGCACCTGTAGTGTCGACTCAACGCATCCGTCGGTCTGTGTCTCCGCCGATCGAGTCTTCTTCGCCACTAATCGTGTCTTTGATTTCCACTCATAGTATCGATAACTGCGGGACAAAAACACATGGCATCACATATGGGATCAATTAAGCGCTCATTTCAATGACAAGACTAACCTCTTGTAGAGGAAGAATAGGGAAACCGTAAGACCGGTGCCAATGATAACGGCTTTTGTGGTCGTATTTGCCGTTGAATTCAACGATAATATGTTTGACATTATATTTTGTGTTCACTTTTGGCTGACAATCAACTCATCACTACTTTTGCAAACATTTCACACATTTTTCACAACAAATAAACACTAAATGTATTCAAAAAACAATACAATTAATGATCAATAAATTGAATAAATTGAGGCATTGATTGCATTCAAAGTGAATGTCATTTGTATTGACTGAGAATTTGAGGAAAACGTGAGTTTGTATTCAAAAACTCATTTCTCTCTCATTTCAGTCCATAGACTGTGAAAATAAGCCAAAGTTTACTCAATAAAAAACGTGAAGGGGATGTGTGAGTACATGTCAATCATTGTCTGTATTATACACTGCATATAAATGGGGGACATTTTATGGTCAAATACAGTGACATTATTTATGAACATATTTGTGACAAAACTGAGAACAGACTTAACGGTAGTTTTCTGATTGACCGCAAACTGGCGTTACTTTTATGTTAAAATCGATTTCAGATAAAAGGCATTAAAAGTCAGATAAAAGTTATTTTATAAAATTATGTATTTCTGTAAAAATATTATTTTTTATGCTTTTTAATGATTTTTCATAGACTTTATTATAATTATTGTAATTTAACTTTCAATTCATTGAACTTCTAATATATGGAAACGTTTTTTGTCAAGAATTGAAAGCAATGTTTGTTTTATTATTTAAGAGACCATTACTTTGATAACAGCATTGATGAATACATTAACAATAATTATTGATAGAAATTTAATTTTAAAAGTTTTATTTTAATAGTTACAGAAAATTGTTGGTAAATATGTTATGTTTAGTTATATTTCCGTTATTTAATGCTACAATTTCCGGCTTTTATACAACATTACACTATTGTGTAAAGTGTATTGACTTTTAATTAAATTTTAATCAATATATTTAAATATATAATGAAATAATTCATAGATTATTTTTATTTATTTTGAAAACATTAACAAAATATTTTCAAGAATCAGTAATACTAGAAACAATGCAATCAACTATTATTTTCATATCATTTATTAATATAATTTTAATCAATAATCTATTTTCACGCAAAATCATAATTAATAATTAGCATAAAAACTAAAATCGGAAATTAGAAAAAAGTTTTTTTATATATTTTTGATCTCATTATTAAAATATATGCTTAAAATTGGTTCATATTATGTGTTGTGCCATAAATTTAATAGATTTTAAATAATCTTATTTTACGTGAAGATTAAACCAAAGATACAATTGTTATAACGAGTTGTTTGTAATATAAGAGCCATTCGTGCCATAAGTCCAAAGGAAAGCCCCGAATATAATGTTAAAACTTTATTACAATCTTATGATAAACTCGTAATTGAATTATTGATATAATAAGTGATACAAAAAATTTGCTTTTCATTGAATTTTTGAAACAAATATTTTATATTTTACGTCAAGATTTCCAAAAGATTTATAAATAATTAAAATTTAAATATTTTTAAATGTATTATAAATACATAATTATATTGTTTAGAAAAGTATTTTAAATAATATTTATCTTTCATTGAAATCGATTTCATTGCTAACAAACATATATTCAAATTATTTGAATAGAGAGATGAAAATATGATTTCATAATTAGAGTTACATTAAATGAAAATTAGGTTATTATTTGGAGAGAGAGAGAGAGAGAGAGAGAAACAATAAGTTGTAATATTTTCAGATATTTCAGTAAAACACTAGTAATTATATATTTTAA